CTATATGTTACACTACTGCTGACCTTTTTCCAAAGTGCAAGTGTTTTAGATATTATTTTTTAAAGATAATATTTTGGGCATTTTTGCCTTTATTTGACAGAACAGCCTACGTTAGAGACAGGAAAACTGAGGTCAAAGAGAGGGGAGATGAGATGCAGCTAAAGTTTTCAACCACCGGTAACGAAGTTGACAGAGTTCATTGAGTGCTCTGAATTATTGCACAATACCACAGTTTAGACAATAAATAGTAGACATAATTTTATAGTGCATTATTGCTGTCTCAAGCTGGTTTCATGTCTCAGCAGGATTTTAAAGCAAACACCATTTTAATTTGGAATTGTGCTGTTAGAAACTTCAGTCCCTTTCCAACAAGTTTTGGGGGACAGCTTCTGAAATCAAATGTACAGTAAGAAATTATACAAAGTTGTTGAAATAGGACTGAGAACAGCTTAAGACATATTTTTGGTTTGGTCTGTTATATCATTTTTTTAGCATTTCTGCAGAACATGCTTGATTTAGGGGATAGGAGTTGTCATCTGGTAGCTTGACTCCTGTTGTTTCCTCACTTATATGATGACAGTAACCTATCTTTATACCTACACTTGAGTAGGAAACAAAACCTGAAACAAGGTTTTAAAATGTGAAAAGTGTGAATCAGTCTTTATTTAGAGAAATGTAAAAAGAAAAAAATAAACAGCTGTCCACAATTTAAGAGAAATACATTAAAGAAAATAATTGAACACTTTGGAAAATGGTTCACGTTAAAGACCGTATATGTGATTCTTAGTCAATGGGCTAAAACTTGCAAAAGCTCTGGTATGATCCTTTTATGTCTGATGCCAAGATGACCACAAACCAAAGACAATGGACTGAATCATCAAATGCTGGTACTTCCCATATCAACCTGTGACTCACACAGAATGGAACAGATTACTCAAAGACACTTTTGCAGCCGTCAGACAATGACCAGGAGGAGAATCAGTGGGTTTGCTGTCATTTGTTCAAGATAAAGTGTTAATATATGTTGTTGCTGGGCTTCAGGCCTGGTTAGTGTTGAATGTTATAAAGAAAAAAAAAAAGTATGTTGTTTAAAATGAAATAGGTCTGCACTAAACTTAACTGACTATTCCTGAGGTCCGGTTAATATGAGAATGGATGATAATATGTACCAAACTTTTCCCCCATCATACACAGCATGTGTAAATTAACAGACCTTTCAAGATGCTTCTATGCACTACTTACGCCTGGAACTCCACTGTTTGTACAATTAATAATAAAAGCAATACAAACTGGTTTGTAATAAAGTGACATATGTTTCATTTTTTCTTCTTAGTAAAATGTCTGTGCACTACAGTATATGTGAGCATCAGTACCTGCTGTGCTGCTGTTATAATTACAATGTAAAATGGCCTCTGTGTGTGTGCAGGAGGTATGTCTTTGTGTCTATAACATGGTGTAAACTTCCTCTTTTCAGGCACACATGCACAATGATTGACCATATGAACTGTGTTAAACAGTCCACCAGGTGGCAGCAGAGACCAGAATAGCTTTCACCAGATCTATGATGACCAAATATGATCCATTGGAAGTTTCTGCAGGTTTTTTTGCTTGAACATTTCTGCACCAGCTGACGTTACTGATTAGCACACCTACAGAGAAGAACATCTAATTAGTGAGTCACCCTGTGTGATCTTCGTTTAATCTCTGTCTTCCATGCACTGCAATGCACTATTGACCACTTAGGATATAAACTAGTAATCCACAATGCCTGCTCTCTGCTGCTTTTTTGTGACATGACCTGGATGCGAGGTGAATGTTCTTGCAGCAATTACAGCAATTTACAAGCCGGTAGAAAGAAGCACCAGTGCAGATCATTGTTTACTGATCCTTGTCCTCGTTGTTTTCCAATTCAGCCTCAGCTTTTCCCCCATAAAACTTAAATTGTCACTGAATTGGTAAACACTAGACAGATGTCTTCAACATACATTGTCTCTTTTCAGACACATTTTATACACCATTGTCATGTAACACCCATACAAACAGGACTTTGTTGACAGAAAAGTAGGTTACATTCCTCTCTATCCCAACACAAGCATGTGTCTCTCCCACCCCCGTCCAATTCACATAAAACTCCTAATTTTATACTTACTACTACAGCAGGAAACTCAAAACCAACAAGGCTTGGTCCACCCCCGCCCAGTCCCTCTTAGAGCGGAAACTGCACCACAGTGTGGCCATGGAGGGGTCCAGACTCAGGGAGAGGGGCAACCTGATTCCGTACTGATGAAAGTTAGGCCATGCACTGGAAACCACATTTTGAATATAGTACCTTGACTTGTTTTGTTTGACATTTTTTCTGTGTCTGTCTAAATACAGTTGCAGACTCCCTATATGAATGCCTGTTACAACACTAATTGCCCTTAGTTTTTTGAAACTGGGTCACTGCAATGTGAAGGCCAAAAAAGGAAAGAAGTGCTGCTTGGGTCTGTCACATATAAAAGTTTGACAGAGGCTCATTGGAGGCAAAGATATAGGTGATTTAAAGTCGTGAATGAAGGGTGGCAGCAGTTCTGCAGCAAAAATAATTTCTGCTTTGAATCTTCAACCAATGGGATAAAATACAAAACAATAGACCTTTTTCACAGCAGCCATTTTGACATGAAATAGTAGGGTAAACATGGGTGCTACCAATGCTACTGATTAAGGTTCAGTTCCATTTAAGTCAAACAGAGTCCGGGTGCTGCTGTTGTGCATGTTTGCTAAAATTCTCCTACACTAAATGGAAAAGAGCCTTAATGAGTAAAATTTGTAACACCTGTGTTTACCCTACTATTCATGTCAAAATAGCTGCAGTGAAAAAGGTTGATTTTGTTGTAAAATCGAAACCAATAACCAGTAATTCACACATTCATAAAACATTTTAAAAGACAAAAACATCTCCACTTTTCCGTGAACTTTCAGTCGCACCTCGAGGTTCTCAGTTGGATTTTCTAATGTATATTTTATTTATTCACTTTAAAATTACTAATTTAGTTTTTACTTTGGCATAATAATATTTTGCCAACTGAATGTCTAACAGGATCTGCTCTTAATTCGTTAATACTTTGATTGAATAGGGCTCTGTTTTTCCAGGAGGAGGGGCCATTTGAGGCTTCAGAGGTAGACAGCTCAGAGAAGCAGTGGTTTCCGAGGCTGGGCCATAGTCCTCCAAACGTTTGGTTTTAGCTTGTGTCTGCTTTTAGAAACTTGGCCGTCGGGGAAAACACAAACTCCCCCCCTTGCCAAAGCCACAAGCGAGTCACAGACATGGAGCAGCAGCAGATGATGATGTTGTATAGTGGACGGCCTTCCTGTCTAAGTAAACAGTGATTCAGATGGATGAGGAGTGGGAGGCTGTGGTCTGCTTCAGACTGGCAGCACCAGGCCTCTCCCAGACCCACCATAACAGGATATGGTCCTCGGGCCCACACTGATGGTTGCATCATGTTATTATTTCCCTCAGGTTTTACCATTCGGTTGGTGTGGTAGTATTCATGCACGCTGTGTACCATGTGAAGAGCTGGATTGAAGGTTCTGGAAAACATATCTCTCTGTGGTGTTTTTGACCAAAGAGACAGTGAGTGAGGTTACTTTCCCTTCTCAAGCAGGTCTTATATAACTCTACATACGCATGTCTGGATAAGTGGGCATGGAGAACATTAGTAATTAGGTTTCTGTGACTCAACAGATGGTACAGAGTAGATATTTAAGCATAACAGTTTACTATGTAACCACCACAACTTCGCACAACAATATTTTTTATGTTGTTTTTTTGTTGTGAAATATTTTGTGCGTATGTTTTCCTCTTTGAGCCTCAGTTATTTAGATACTTAAAGGACAAGTGTGTAGAATTTAGTTGCATCTAGTGGTAAAGCTGCAGATTGCAACCATTTGAATACAGCTCAGCCTTCCAAGCGTAGGAGAAACTACTGTGGCTGCAAAACTTATCAACAATCACAAAAGGCCCTATCTAGAGTCAGTGTTTGGTTTGTCCGTCCAATATAGATAAAAACAGCTCATTCTAAGGTAACAAAAACACGATTATACACTAATGGAAACATATCTATGAATATTATATAACAATTTCTGCCAATATATAGAAATTTTACACACTGGACCTTTAATACCTCTTTTTTGAAACTGCTAACAGCAACTGGCCCCAGCTACATTACTTATTATTAAGAGGTCATAAGCCAAAAAGTTTGGGAACCATTGATTTATTATAAGATGATATGTTGTATTATATGATAACAGGCTTGGGGAGTAACAGATTACATTAAAAATCTTGGTTTTCATTGTCTTTTTTTCTTTTTGTCCATTTGTTTATTTGTTTGTACAATACCAAAACAGACATGTTCTACAAAATGTAAAAAGTTGGTAATAAAGCAGGATCCACCTTTAAGCCCATATCAGTTAATATTACATTTTAGTAGTGTGTAATCTGATAATATAATTAGCATAAACACATTTTTAGTTAAATCAGTACAAACCAGTTGGCACAGTAACCATGGAGCTTTCGGGGGGCCTGGAGTTCTAAATTGCTTTTTATATGTTGATGGTTCAGTAGAAATAATCCAATAATGAAATATATAGCCTCTGTTAACACTTTAAATGGAGCCATTTTACAAAACACCTCAATATAATGTTTATGTAACTTTATTTTAGTAAAAACTTTGCAGTGTAACTTGTAACTGCGTATTTTTAAACCGTGGTACTGCTACTTATACTGACGTAAAGGACCTAAATGCTTACCACCACCTGTGTGTTGTAGCAGAAGTAGTGAAGTGTGTACAATTTAAGTGTCTAATGCCATGTATGGGTTACAGAGTGCCTTGTTGTGTCTGCACTGTGGTGTAATTTCTCCCCAGGCCAGTTCCACTCAGCGTAAACACAGACAGAGCCGGTCAACCACAGTAGGCGAAAAGCTGTCTTCACATCGGCCCCACAGGTGTGGCATTAACCCCGCTCAGCTCACTGCCATGTTGGCTTTAGAGGATCACATTTTCAAAACAAGTCCTTACAACAACCCCGATTGTCACAAAAGGTTTTATGGCACGAATGGCTGGTTTCATGGGCTCCTCTTAGACTGTAGTAAAAGCTGTAAAAATAGAAGCAACTCGTAGGCTGTGAGGGCGGCTTTGAAGAGCTGCGTAGTTGCGGTGGAGGGAAAGGATGATTTGATTAAATGAATGTGCCTTGTCGTTGTTGTTTTCTTTGGTTGGGTAGCAGAAGAAAACAGAAGGGAGTATGTTAAAGGATGCATTGCAGAGCTGTGAGGGAAACAAAGAAATCGTTTTCAGACAAGCAGCCACAGAGTCAAAGTCACCTCTATACTGCCAGGACAGTTAGTGGTTGCACGGCCGTGTCCTGTCTGACCTGCGTGAGATGGAGATGTGATAATCCAAACCTTAACTGTATGGAGTTAGAGGTCTGAAGGGAGGATTTATGGTGTTGTTTGTATGCTCTATTTGAGTCAACCACAGCAGACTGTTGCTTCCTCTGCTTTTTGGATGCACTGCGGAGAAGTGTGTGAGGAGACGGGCGCAACACAGACACACTCACACCCATGCAGACAGAAAGGCAGGCAGACACACACTCGCTCACATACACAAACAAGATCCAGAAAGAGCCAGTACTGCAACCCTCATAACCCCTTGTGTGGTGGTAGGTGCGGTTTAGAAAACTGCAGGGTTTGTTGTAGTCCAGAGGCAGTACGGGTGTCAGAAGACCGCTATCCTCTCCTCTACCACCATGGTGCTATCCATCCATGAAATATTGAATCTTTAGACAATGAGTTAACAGTAACCTAGATTCTGCAAGTCAGGGCCCACTTCAGTAAAGATAATGTTTATGTTTAACACTTTAAGCTTTCCCTGACTAGACCAACACATTGCTGTGTATAGTAAGAAAGGCCACAGAAAGGTAAAGTATTAGAGAAGTAGAGGGCAGTAAAATGTATGCAGCAATGCCGGAGAGCAGACCTGAAATAGTCCCTTTTTTTCTCTCTCTCTCGAGGGAGGCCTTGCCAGCAGCAGTCAAGGTTACATAACTGCTTATCTCTCACATTTAAGTCTAGACCAACCCGCTAGCGCACATTATGAAGTAACACCCGTTTTAAAATGAGTTAGCTAGCCTTTGAGGAAATTAACACCGTCTCAAAAAATGTTTTGTCATTAAAGTTAAGCATATTATGAGTTACTGTTAAAATGTTGAGCCATATGAGGACGTCAGCACACAGAGTACATGGTTTTGAACAAGAGTCGCATAGAAAACACTGAAAAACGGACATATCGTTTGCAAAAATGAACACAAAGTAAAGCTTTCTGCCTTTTCGGTCCAAGCTAAAGAATTGCATTGTAAACAGATGGGGTGAAGCATTTTAGTGTTTGTCCTACTTGATACTAAAGTAAGCTGCAGGAAATTCCCAAGATGGAAAAGATTGTAATAGGATCTCCCACTCACTATCGCTTTCTCTCGCTCTCTCCTTCTCTCTCCCCCTTTATACATTTGAATGTACTGGTTGTCTGAACTATTCAAACTCAACCCTTACAACAACTCGTGACCTTAAATTAAATCTAACCTGAGCTTGAACAGTAAAGAATATTCTGGAGTTTAAATGACATATATTATTTAACTTGGGGTTGTGTTTTAGAGTTGATGACTGTATATATGTTGTAACAATCACAACAATCATAGGCCACACCAAAAAAAGAGAAGTTCAGAAAGGTTGTAAACATTTGTATGTGAGGACATACAGGAGGAAATGTACTGCAGAGGAAATGGGTGGAATAAATACTGTAAAGTTATTTGAGGCCATCAAAATGCATAAATATGACTAGAAAACCTCAGTTATAAACTATAACTAAATAACTAAAAATGCACTGAACATGCTTTATAAGACAGATGTTCACCATCTGTCTGTGCTGTTGCTGCAGTCACTGATGTGTCAATCAGGCAGTCTGTCTGGAACCAGAGAAACCCATAAGAGCTGCTTTGTGCTCTGTGAATAATACAACACGTGCTCTGTTTGTCAGACCTCCATTTGTCCTGCATGCAGCGTAATATCAACATTTGAGGGTTGTTTAAGTCCAGAGTGACACATTCAGAGAAAGTGGGAAGACAGTGACTCTTAAATGGAAAAATGTTTCAGGCAGAAATTCAAAAATAGCATGTAGTTCATCTTCAAAGGCGAGTTAGTTAAAAAAAACAAAAAAAAACAGCAGTTAGATTTATTTACTTTTAAAATTAATGCATAATGTATTGAAACTGATCTTTTAAATTGTAACTACAATGGATTATACAACAATGGGGGGGGCTACTTCTCATATGTAGGACAGGAGCTCTGACCTACTTCTATATGTGTCTATAGTAACATTACATAACTTGTGCTTTCACAGTGGAGTGAAGAAAGGACAAGAAACAGGTTTCACTCCCTCAGAGGGCTTGATACACCCTATCGGATAATTACGGGATTTACAGCTACAGGAGTTTGGATTTTTCAGTTACATTACAGTCTGTTTGTTAATGCACAGGCCTAATGCTGTATTATAAGATTGCATAATTGCACTAATTGGAAGTTATTTCAGTTAAAAACTCATATCTCATATCTCATACATACAGGACGCAGCCCTTCTATAATGAATTACATTGAACCACATATTGTGTGTTTAAACACATAAAACAGGAATATACAGATAAACACATGTGTGCTTACTGTAATAACACATTAAGCAGTGTTTGCAACCATAAAGGTTACCGCAGCTTTATAAAGAATCCAACCAAATGGTTCAGTTTATTTATTGTAACTGGGTTGAAGCATCATTTTAAAAATAAATGTCTTTGCGTATGGGATTAAACCACTGCTCTAAAGACATTCACTCAAAACATTGGTGTGGGAGGGAAATCTGGTTATCCACCCTATTTTTTTCCACTTGCGCCAAGTGATGGTCTGCTTGCATCCAGTGATGCTACATTCCTGCCCAGAAATTCTGGACAGCTTGGTCCCATTCACAGCAACCAATGTACACAAGGCTTTTAATATGCCTTTGTGGAATAAAAAGAAAAGATCACATACATTATATACGGCATGTGCAACCAACACCTTGGTCCATAATCATGTGTATTTTCCTACATAAAATGATATGATGTTAAGTATTTACTTCCAATCTTCTCTCTATAACACAAAGCTATTGCTCTGTTAAACCAACTAAAGAGATCTTTGAAAATATGTAATTAGAAATGCATTTTAAAGAAAACACTTCCAGGGAAATTGACCGTCTGTCTGAATTTAGATAAGAGTTTTGCTCTGAACTTGACACCACATGGTTCAACCTTGTGATTCCACAGTTATCACCCACACCAACTGTTGCCTGAGAGCAAGATAGTGAAAGCCTTCTGCACACACTGTGCTTAACTTAGCAGCTGTCCAGGGCGTTCAAGGGTTGATGAAAACTGCTGTTTACAAATGGGGACTTCACGAGACTCAGAAGTTACATTATGTAGGGTTTCACTTTGCTGTCGGTGTAACAGCTGGAGAGAGGGCACCATCTCCTTAAAATAATCACCACAAGACCACAGAATCGGTAGGAGGTCATTTATTGACATATGCAACTGAGTGCAATCATCCTCTGAACAAGTCCATCAACTGTTTCGAGTGTAGGCTGTAACAAAGCAATAAATATGGTCGATATAAAAGTCATGCCAGCATTTGATGCCGTCAGTTAAAAATGTACATTTTCAAAAAAATCATAGCAGTCAGCTAAATGAGCTGCCAGGTAGAAAACTTAAGGCAAGGCGGTCTTCTGCTTGCAGGCTGAGTATATGCTACTTTTAGCCGATCGTATGACCTGCAAAAAAGGAAAAACAAAAATGATCAAACACTTTTTTTTTTTTTTTTAAATGGAATTATTTCGTAACCAGACAGTCAGACGGTTTGTGTACCTTTGTTTGTTAAAGAGACTTCTGGATGTTATTCAGGATGTCGCCGTAGACAAAGTTGAACAGCTGTTCCTTTGACTTGGTTCCATCTAGCTGCACTGTAATAGCAAACGTATGTTTAATCAATGAGAGAAACTTTTAATCGTTGCTTGCAAAATAAATACAGAAAAGCAATTACAAAAAAAACAAACAAAAACACACATGCACACAGACTTACAGATGTCAACACTTGATGTCTCCATGATGTTCTTATGTTTCAGATACATGGGCCAGACGTGGCCATCGAACAGGCCGGGGGGGTCTGGCACCGCGTAGTTCCTAGAGCTACACAGAGACAACAACAATTATATATGGCAAATACAACAGCAGAGTAGAATACAAACACCAGTTAAGCAAAGGGTCTGAACACTTACCACCTCCTCTTTTTGCATTCTTCATATGGGATGGAAATAAAGTAGCGTTGGTTCAGCACGTCGATCAAAGGTCTGCAGGAGTAGAGATAAATTAATCTACTCGTCCCATTTCTTTAACGGCGAGAAACAACCAACACAAATGTTGCGAACACACATTCTTACCCGTAGGTGTAAAGCAGGAAGCCCTCCACAATAAGGATGTGAGTCTCCTCATCCTCCTTGTGGTCAGACTTTGGGACAATCTCTGTATCCAGGGTGTTATTAACGCCATGAGACTTCTCAAACTTCACCGGGTTCTCCAACCATGCGTAGATCGTACTCATCATGGCGTCCATGTCCAAAGCAGTAATGACTGAAGAGCAGAAGGGGGAAGGAAAAAGGAGAGAACGCACAGAAAATTGCAGAGCGCAAGTTAGAAACGTGTTCAGTGTTAAGGCCCGTCAATATTGCATGCAGACTACAAATAAAGCAACCTCACAACAAAACACACACACACACACACACACACAAACACAAACCTTTCATAAAAACCCAGGCTTACCATCGTACTGCTTAAAGCCATCTTCACCAACTTCAATCTGATCTTGGGGCTGAAACATACATTGATAAGATGTACCCAGGTACATACGACTAGTGCTACACTCTGCTACAGGGAAGGCTATTTTACACACTAGATCAAAACTGTATGACACAGGCAGCAAAGTGTTAACACCACACCAACATGTGTTACTCAGAGCGATTCCCTTTGGTTTTACTATATCCAAATCCAAAAATGTACAGACGTGATGTGTGCATGTGAGGCTCACCTTGAAGAAGTCATCCTGGTGTACCACACAACAGTTGGGCAGGTTCTTGATCAGCCTGTTGGTGAGGGTGGTTTTCCCTCCATTGGTTACTCTGCGTGGCACAAAGCAATAACATGGCAATGAATGGGGGGATGGTGCAACCCACACATGAAGTCGTAAAGCTGGTGCATTAATGATTAGACTGACATCAAAAGACTGCACCTGGAAACATGTATTTGATAGTGCACTTATACATTTTAACATTTTCCCCCATTTTCCTATATTGTTAAATGGGTTTAAATTATAATATCCAGTTAGTTATCACTGATTTTAAAAAACAAAAAACAACCAGTTGTAAGTAAACAACAACAAACAATCAGCTACTTGAAAAATGTTACATTTAATGGATTTTATGCATTAATATAAACATCATAATCGAAAGGGATAGTAAAAAAAAGGGTGGGTCAACATATGGCGGGCTGACTTATCTCTATTACACGGTTACAACTGTTAGCTCTCAGCTTTGTTTATTGTTTACCGGAGAGGATTAACCTCCGAGTGTAAACAAAGGGACACATCTGCTTAATCAATAATTACAACAGCGGTTCAACATAAAAAGGAAACGTCAATTGAACGATGTCACGACCGCCGTCCCCACGTGTGTCGGCCTTTTAGGGCCTAGCAGCTCGGTTAGCTTTTAGCTCTTAGCTCCCGCAGTCATTCATCCGGTAACAACTCACCCGCCGATGCCGATGATGTACTTCATGGTTTCTTTTTCCGGGTTGGTTAAAGCTCGTAAAAAAAAAAGTCGCCGAAGAGAGTTCAAAAACGTCGACAAACCGGGTGCAGTGATCGGACGGGGAAGAAAGCTTAAAAAAGAGAAGGTTGCAGCAGGAAACGTCAACTACTTGATTCCTCCATGGCACTTGGGTTAAGTGAGTAAGGTAAGAGCGGAGACGGGGTGTCGCTCGGACGCGGTCTTCCACCGAGAGAGAGCAGGCGGTGCACTGGAGCCTCTACACATACTGAAGACAGCGGCCTGATTGGCTATTTAAACACCTCGGACCGCACGGGAGAACTCGGAGCAGCCAATCAGGAGCGAGTGTTACCGCAGGTCCCACCCACTTCCCTCGCGTCGCTTCACCCCTCCTTGTTTCTGACCTTAACCCATGATGTCATTTTAATTTTTTTAATGCTAGAAATTAAAAAAAAAAAAAAAAGAGAGTGCTTTACTTAATTAACTCCAGGTTTATGCTTTTTTTTTTTTTTAATACTTTTATTTAAACTATGTTTTAGAGGCGAATGTTGTTTTTTTCAGAATTCAGGAATCAGAATGGATTTTATTGCCAGGTAGCGTTTTTTACAACATAGCAAGCGAATCTTATCCTTGGGGGCAGGGTGCTTAAATATACATCGCACAAGAAATACCACACAGAGTAAAGTATTTTAAAATATAAATAAATTAGAGATAAGAAAGATAAGAAAAGATAAGAAGAGACCTGGTAGGCAAAGACGGGAGTGCGCTTAATGTACATGCATAGTATACGCGGGGTGGCGGTATACCAGAGTCAGTGACAGTGGGGGATTTTGTTTACTCATTTAATCACAACTGTAAAATGCTCTTTACACATTAATGCCCCTGTATGTAATATATAATAACACTCACATTGCCCATTTTCTGTCTCCTTTTTTGACATTGAAGTTAAGTTGTATACTTTTTATTCATTAAGATTTTAAATGCGCACATTTTGCTTATTCCTTATTTTTGCATTGTGGTATTGCTGCCATCTGAATACTTCCTCCACCACTGTCCTTTGGTGTTTTGTCAGATGGGACCAATGTTTTTAACACCGACATAAATGTTAGCAAAAACAAAACTAACAAAAAATATCCCATTAATCGTCACGCTTACCATTTAGAGACACAGCCTGCTATATACATGTGTTTTCATTTTGCAGGACTATAGTTTAATGACACCTTTCTCCACTGCAATTCAGAAGGAAATGTTCTTAAACTGCTTTTGTTGTTAGAATATTTGAATATTAGAATAGTAAAAAAGTTTGAATATCTTTTGGTTTTAAATGTAAAACATACAATAAGTTAATTATGCATTGCTGTATTTATCTCACCCATGAATTATAAAGAAGTTAGGCCACAGCTCAACACAGCTCACATGAACAAATAAATCATTTTTAGTATTTCCAGATTGCGCTGGTGCCACTTTTACTTCGTTGTCATACACCAGAACAGAAAAGACTAGAATTGACTACATCATTATCCTCACAATAAAGAATAATAAAATATGTAATCTCTAAAAAGAAAAGAAAAAGAAAGGCACACAACAGTAAAGACAGATTAGATATTTGCAGTTTATTTTTGGTAGCATTTAAGTTATATAATCTACAGGAAGACAGGGCCTCTCTTTACTGCTGTGACCCTAACAGGCACATGTTAACTATAGGACAACTTTGCATTGTGGGCATTGTGCAGATGACCTGTCAGATGTTTTCCCTTATTAATTCTCTGTGTAGTTGCAGCTACTCACCTAATCACAGTACCCACCAATATACAATAAAAGGGCAGCAGAACATAGAAAACAATTCATATTAGTGTCTGAATCACAGACACAAAATAAACAAAAGACAACATCTCTTAACACACTTGCATTGCTGTGGTGTTTATTTCACCAGCCTGCAGCTGACCTCTCTCTGTTTTGTTTAGAAACTTCCCAACCAACTTCATGACACAGTTTCCTGAGGTTAAACCCAAAATATTACTTAAGTTGGGGTTTACACCCTCGAGAACCTCAACTATGAAGAGGAAGTCGCCAAGTGTGGAATTCATTTCAGCTTGTAAGATTTCTATTCATAGTTTGACTCAGCTTCATTTTGCCAGTTTGGAGCCTGAAACTGAGATTTTCTTGAATTTGTTGAAGTGCACTGCTCTATAAAAGCTTTTATATACATGAATTAAATCTGCTATAATGCTCCGAGGGGATAAATATACGTCTTCTGACTCCATCACAATGTGTTGATATGAGCTATTAAGAAGCCAGATGGATTTTCCTCCACACTCTCTCCTCATTTGACTACCATGTGATATAATGACAATACTATCACCTTTAAAATGTGACTGAGAGATTCTTGGTACTGAAAGCATAACACAGAGGCCTAATCATGTTTTTCATGCAATTAATACATTTGGTGAAGGAGACTTTTTCTTTCAATCACAGTTATTGTTCACTCCCGTGACGCGATGATTTACATGCAGATAATGTCTGCTGAGAAACAATAAACTGGCTGATTTGATTGAGATTTGGGATGTCAACAGAACAACTGATCAACTGTGTAAAACGAGAGATTTGGATGAGTTTTAAACAGATTATTTCCTGTGAATATTGAATCAGATAGTTTTCCTGATATTTAGGAACTTTTTATACAATTCTCTGTCTGTGTTATGTATTTCATTTTTTTTACTACTACAAACTTAATAGGCTTTCTTCTCTATGACGCTGAGCCATTGTTCTATTAGCTTTTTGGTACTTTTAACTGCATACTTTTCTAATGCAAGAGGAGATATATTTTCTCATTATGCAGTTATTCAGTGTTATTATAGGATTATAATGTTGTATAATAATTATTACATAGGAGCAGTGTATTAATGTTGCAGCTGGATGAGGTGGAGCTTATTTGAATAAGTTTTGTTGTATTATATAACCTGATCATGTGTTTTGTAAAAGGTTCAATGTGAAAAGTACTATAGTTATCAAATAAATGCATAGAGTGAAAAGTTAATTCTCTATGAGATATGGCGATGTGTAAGTGCAAAATGACATAAAATGGCAAGCACAAGTGTAAATTAGCCTAAAAAGGAAACACATTCACTGTACAATATACCACTGCTGGAACACAATGAATAATTCAACTCAGAGTTTAAAAATCAACACAATTCTATTTTTTTTAAAAAAAAGAACAAGATGGAGCTAAACGTGTTTTATATGATCTCAAATTAACTAAACCTAAATGTTATTTGATCAAAGGCTTTTATTTTTTCTGCTCTTTTCTTTTTCCATGTAATACAGCTGCATTAACCTGAGTTTTAATGTCCTTATTAATGTATCCACTCACACAGACATTGTGTCATACACCTACAGTCATGGGTGTGGAGGTCAGAGCAGGAACATGCTTACTTTCAAGGAACTGTGTGTACTGTGCATAATGTTGCATTAATAACCTTTCACAAGGCACTTCCTTACTGTTCCTTCCGTACCCTACAGCAGTTTAGTCTGTCTCTGTTTTGTGCAGTTTGCAAGGTTAGAAGGTTGATTTATTTGTCGCTTTACAGTACAGAGTTTGTAAGTGAAGATTGTGTCGCTATGTTTCCTGAGAGGCTGAATCAGCTGCACAGCAAATATTACACTCTCCCACATATGAATGTCTCATAAACCTGAGAGATATTGCGGGGTCTGTGAACATACTTCAGTAACTGGCTGTACACTGTGTTCTTCTCTGCTTTTTCTCCCTCCCCTTTTACATCCTCAGCCGTCACAATTCACATCCGACTTTCAGTCACATTTGTGTCATCCTGCATTCTTCACATTTAATCTGATTGTATTTCCATAAATGCCAGATTTTCTGCATGACTGCAGTTTGTTCACAGTGAATTCAGGAAATTTAGAAAATCTACTATCCAGTCCAGTCGTGTGATACACTTTGTTGATCACATTAAATCACGGCATGGGCAGAGATAGCTTCTATTATTCTCTAAGGTTTGTCTATTTGTAATATAACTGAGAGAGCTAATATACAGTTTAGTAGTTTCTGCACTTTTTGTTCTGCTCTTATTGTTGACTAAAAGCACCCAAACATCTGACTGCCATCTGCTGGCTGTGATTAAACCTTCATTTGAAAAGTTTTCTCTCTCTCAGGATTCAATTTAGACCAAAAGACTGACGTATACTGTAAATTCCTGTATATTGATTTAAAGTTAGTTGAGTTAAAGAGAGTGTGGTAAAGATTTGAAGATAAGTTTAAGATGCTGTTTAGATTTACTGATGGCAAAAGTACATACAGAAATTATAAATAATTAATGTGAAGCTGTTTCCCTCTTTGAGTGACTCTAGTGTGGATATGTATTAACAAATAATTTTGTTTTTTTGTCACAAGCATTAACAAAGGACAGCATGTGAGCGGAATCACAGTATCGAAAATACAGGGAAACGGCTCAAACGTAAGCATCCCAGGAAGTGAGTGCATTCACAGTAAAGCTCAGTAGATGACAACAACGTGATCTCTTTTCAAGGAAACAACATTATAAAAGAAAAAATAATTGTTTAAGTGTAGTGTCCATTTTTTTATGTAGAAAAAAAAGCTTAACTTTGGTCAATCTACTCTTAATAATGTGCAGTTTTGCCAAGATAATTATCAAGTTAATAAGACTACAGCTTGGATTTGCTCGTGCAGTTCAAACAATATGTGTTTAAAATTAAAGTCAAACAGTGTTTTAGAGCGTGCATTAACATTTAAAGCGTTGGCTGCACTCTCTTGGCTTTGAAATGGGTTAAAGAGGAAACAAAAGGAAATGTTTTGTTATCAAGAGATCCTTGAATTCCAGTGACGATATACAATTCAAAGTGTTGCAGGTGTTTTCCACTTATTGAACAAGATGTATTTTGTTTGTGTTGGCTCCTGCTCATGTGGGTCTGGAGGGAAATTAAAAAGTTGGATAGACTGGTTGAACAACCTCTGCAGAGAGTGCCTGGAAGTCAGAGGTCAAGGGAATAATTTGGAAGACAGGCGAGAGCAGTGAGACACACAACAAAATTTCTTGTGTTATTATTTTTAAAAATGAAGTTGTCAAATACAGCACATTTTTTATGTCATTCCATTAGACAGGAAATTATTCATCAGGATCTACAGTTGAAATATTGGACATATTATTGGCTTTACAGTGGGTGAGTGAGAACAACAAAGACAAGTTTTGATTCTAGCTAATCGTACATATCACACACAAGTATTTCTATAAGGACAGACGAAAAATAAATGGTCCATAGTTTCTCCTTCTTCATCACAGATTATACAAGGAGTTCTCCTGAAGGATACATATCGTTAAATATTTCAAAGTGAAGCTCTGTTGGAGGCAAAATTAAGTTTAAGAAGTCAATTTCTTTAAGGTGGGATGACAGAAGGTATGAGAAGCTGAGTTCCCGCTGAATTGCATAGGATATAAAACATTTGTAAAGAGAGTACAGATCATTTTGTTTGACAGAATTTTACTTTAAAAGACACAAATGGATCCACGTTTGTCTGCACTAACACTCTAATATAAATCCATGTAGACGAGATATGTGTTGTAAATCTTTCAGTTATTGTATAAACGTACAATAATAAGGTTTTCAATATTTGCTGAACATAAAGTCACCTAAAGAAACAATGTAGTAGTTTTCCTTCTTGTCCAGTAGGCGGCGGTGATGCTCCTTCCAACGGGGAAGAAGAAGAAAAACAAAACAATTAAAAGCAACCTAAAGAAACATCCACAGCAGAAGTTTCTTTGGGAACAATGGACGATGGTCAGCAGCTACAAGTAAGCAAATACACGAACGACTGTGTTCGTGAACTTCTTTATAACCCTAACCACTCACTCATATGTGACCCACTGCCATGTAGTTGACTTAATACCTCAGAGAACTTCTTGACTTTTCCTCAATTGTTCAGCTGGTAGCTTGGGCGAGCCAGCTAACGACCGCTAAACATAACTAACTTCACTTCTAACTAACTTAAATAATGTAATAAAATAATGTAAAAAGAAATGTCCAAGGGGAAACATTTATCCACTACAAACATCACAACAGAGCCGCAGTAAACGTTTGCAAGGCTAGCAGACTAATAGGGACATAAATCAGCAGTACATCTAACTCACATTTGAATTGAGCTGCATAACCTAGAATATCAAGAGCTGACTCTCTAAGTAGCCATACTTTTATTAATAATTACTTTATTATCTATTCCAGGATCATGTATCCATCCAGAAGGGATTGTCCAGACCTCCTCTGCAAAAATGCCACAATTGCTGCACTCCAAGCAGATTTCATTGTCCATTTTGTGTCCCAGCTTATTTCAAACCCTCAAAACACTCCAGGACCCTGCTTCATTTGAACAACCATCTACAGAAAGCCATCTTTGTTGGAGGTAAAGGTTTTTACCTCCTTTGTAATTAATTGACAGTGTCAGCAAAATGACTCCTTACGAATTCATTCATAAATTAAATGTGTTGTTCACATTTCAGAGTACACTATCCACAGATGTGGACTGCAGTGCAGGAAACAGCAGCATTACCACTGTTTGTACTGCACAGCCACGCTGATAAGGAGAAGAGATTTCACCAATCATCTGCCTTTCTGCCGTCGCACTCAAGAGCGGAGAACCCAAGAATTATCCAACGTAGAGACAGCTGTGGCAAAAAGAGTGCAAAGCGAAGGGTTGATTACTCCATCGCTGACGCCTGGAGAGAGTCACATGCTTTCATATGACATAGTAAGGCTGTGAGCATGTGTTTTGCACTTCAGCTAAGCTGTTTGTCACGGGCACGGCTGTGTGCATTGTCTCCGTCTACACGTTTGAGTTAATCATGTTGCAGTTAATTAAGACACTCAAATGAAAAGGTAGTTGCTCCTTCAGGGATTCGACTTCTGCTGGGTGATTTAAGTTTGAATTAAGCTCCTATTTTTCTTCTGCATGAATGAACAGAGCTTCCTATGTCAATTTTTACTGTCAACAACATATTGTTTATTTTAATTACTGCATGGCATCCAGAAGGTGACTAGTGACTGTTGCATCTGTTGACTTCACAACCAGTTTGCACATTTTGTGATCTGTAGGATCTTTGGAGGATGTAACTGAATAAAAATGAAATAGAGACAAAAAAGAGAGACGAATACAATATATACAAATATATATAAAAAAAGAATATGTACAATGTGACCATCCTTTACATAAAGTGAATGAAGAGCTGTACAATTTGCAGTAATGTGCAAAATATTGTCCAGGGAATGAGATGTGCAAAAACGCTCAGACGAACATTAGTTTTCAGATTTAGGCGCCTTTTGGACTTACCAATCGCAAATTGTGTATTGTACAGCTAAGATCTGATTCACTCTGATTGGTTGTGTAATAAGCCCACAGATTTTATTGTGTTGTTTGTTGTTGTTGACCTCACAGGAGAGCGACAGTGACAGTGACGTCATAACAATCATCCCGGATTCAGACGACCAAGACATCCAAGGAACGAGCAGCAGACAGTCCGTGTTTCCCGCCATCTCCAAGTCAAAGAAATGTGACACTAGCGATAAGAGGAAGAGGAGCACGGAGCCAGCAGACGTTTCTAAATGTGACCGAACTGTACAGACAAACATTGAAAAACCACAAGACTGCGATGAATACTATTTCATGAACCTTGTGAAAATGTTTAAAAAGTTGTCCCCTCAGAAGAAGGCAGACGTCAGGATGAAAATCGAGAGACTCCTCTTCGAAGCAGAGTTTGACTAGGGAAGGGTTTACACACACACTAACATAAAGAGACTATAGTTTACTGTTTATGACATGTTTCATTGAAAGAATTGTAACAGTTTAATTATTTTGGCTTTATTCATGAATAAACCTCAGATAGTTAGTTAGATTTGTTTTTATTTCACAGCCGGTATGTGTGTGTACTGTTTCTGTGTGGAGAGACAAGAGACAGTACTTCTGTGCAAGGATTTTAATGGTTAGAAAAGGCATTTGTTATATAAAAATAAGCTGCAAAATCACCCAACACCTTCCATAATGTGAAAATCACCAGAGGTACATGGTTATACAGTAGAACTGTCAGTAACAAAATAATCACAACTTAAATTCCACATAGAAGTCATGGTCTTCATCAGCTCTACAGTACGTTCTACAGTCATTCATCATCTGACTCGTAGCAGTAGACTCCATGCTTGTGCTGGGGAGGTGGGAAGCCAAAGCTGCGCACTCCGGGCTCAGAGGGACCACAGTTTCTTCGTGGCCTGGTGATGGCGTACCGGACGCTTCCATCAGCCAGCCAGCCAGCGTCACAGTGGTCCAGCCCTGCGAATTTCCAGGAGGCGTAGAGTTGCCCGACTTTGGCGATCTCTGCTCCGTACTCCTGACACGCCTGCTGAGCCTCAGTCAGGTTCATCTTGTCAGAGGGCTGAAGATAAAAGACTTTACCTTTGAAGGAAACACATTTATTGTGATAGTTAGAAACCTTTCCACAGCTTAGATCAGAACTTAAACATTTTGATTCATTTTAACTAGGGACTTATGTAAATGCATACTTTTTTATGCTGTTTATTTACTTTTACTTGTTTACACTGAGATGCACATGAAGAGATAATATTCAAGTGAAAAATATTTGGTTATGGATATTCCTTCTTTATCCCACAATCCTGTTATCAATTATCTTACTAGATTTATTAAAATGCTGTCTTGTTTAGGTTGTAAGGTGGGAAATCCTTGCTAGGAAACATGATCATGCATGAGAACTGGGGCAAACTTCATCAGTCTTTGGGTAAAAAAACTTTAAATATACAGCAAAATGTATCTGACATTTTCTATAAATGAGCTGTAAAGAGTCTAAAGGCACTAAAATGAAGAAAGCATGGAGGATATATCTTTAGAGCCCTGGTAATGTGTATAACATTTAGGAAAGTTTCCAGTGATTATACTGTGAATTACTAATTACATTTCTTTACGATAGAGGTCATAGTTAATTAACATTGCAGTGTAATTGTTGTACACTGTTTAGCTAAGGTCAATGCAGGCTTAATGAAGCTTCATGTTGGCTGCTGCATATTTACAGTGACAGGGGCCTTTTAATAAGAGGAGACAAAAGCAGAGAACTAAAAGAAGAAAGTTTCAAAGCAGTGCGGTACTTGAGCATGAGATTCTATTCACTGATCGATAACAAAGAGAGGGAATGGATATTTAAGCCTATTCCACAGAGGACATTTTGATATGTCAAACTAGGAAAAGCACAGGTGTAAATAATAACATTACTGATGGCTGAATTCCATTCAGCTGCTTTGGTTTCCGGCTCCTGGTTATGTCTTACTGGGGCCCTTGAATATTGTTAATATTCAATATATAATAATTTATAATAATAATAATTATTATAATATATAATATTTTATATGTGCTTTTCCTTCAATGACAAGTCAAACTCTCTGCTGTGAATCTGTGACATAGCTGGTGTCATACCATCTCACACTTCCTAAAAGGCTGCATCACCTTGGAGTGAAGACGAGAAGCAGAAGACATCGTAGCGCTGAAGGTGCGGGTGCCGTTTGCCGTAACTCCGGACACCCGGGGCGAGGCCGTGCCCCCCGCAGGGCATCCTGGGCCGGGTGATGGGGTACTGGACTGTCCCGTCAGCCAGCCAGCCTGCATTGCACCAGTTCAGACCCTCCTTCCAGGCCTGAAAGAGCTGGGTGAAGGTGGCCATTGTGGAGTCCTGCTCCTCGCAGACCTGCTGGGCTCCCAGGAAGCTCAGGTGGTACTGACCACGAGGGTGCTGGTAGGGAAACACCACACCTGGGTGGAGGAATTAATTAGATAGCTGATGTACTATTACCACAGTATGTGGGCTTCAAAGTCTCTTACGCAGTGCTTTTGAATATTAGCTTTACAATAATTATACTAATTATAGTTTTTGATAGTTGTAGGAGAAGTAGTAATAGCCCTAGTACAGATACAAGGCCTATTACAATTCATTAAATTCAACTATAACTAACGCATTTATTTCCAGGAATGACTTTAAGTGTATCGTACATACAGTACACATTTATACAAGTGTATCCTAGTTCACCAAGAAATAAACAACAATCGAATGGATAAATGCAAGAAAAATAGGTAAAACAGGTCAAATGCAATTTTAAAGAACAAGCATCTCAGCTGGCCTTTATCTTCAGTGCATTAAGTTTAATTAACATTTAACATCAGTTTAATCTGTTACTAAAAATGGATCTCTGATAGGATAAAAGCAGGCTCTCTGTAATATTTGGACTCGCATTGGCTCTGAGAATCAGTGTAGGTGGACATAGTGTACCTCGTAACTCCAGATAAACTGAAGAGCTCTTGTCCTCCAGTCTGTCCACCACCTCGCAGCGGTAATGGCCTGTGTCATTCAGCTGGAGTTTAGTCATCACAAGTGCTGCATCTCCTGGGAAATCCTGTCTGAGCTGCACGCGACCTCTGACCAACAGACAACCAGAGTCATACTGTGAGTTAATACATACACAAATAGACTCATTCAGCCACTAATAACACCAAAGAATAATCATGAATGAATTATTTGCCCTTTGAACAACCTGAACTCCCCAAAACTTCGACTGCGGGAGCCAATAGCCACCAGCACGTCTATCTCCTCTCCCCCAGCAACAGGCAGCCAGGACCACTTGACACGGACTTCCCTTGGTGAGCTCAACTCAGGCTCATGCCAAAACCTGCACGGCATGGTGGCGTTACCCCCTCTGACTGCAAACACTGATGGCTGAGCAGACTCCACATTCAGCTTCACACCACTGAAATGAACTGTAGCAAATATTGACAATACATCTATGAATGGTGCTTGAAAATATCGATTAACAGAACACATACTGCCCCTAATTGTGTTTAAAAATATGGACTGAAACCCGGTTAAGATCTAACATAAACATTATATTTATTTTACTTTCTTTGTTGCCATTTCCATTGAGGAAGTCATGGTAGAAGAAGCTGTCAGGGATTGTGGGGACAGTCAGGGCCCGGCCTGACAGAACCAGATGAGACAACAACAACAGCAGAGTTTGGGTGCAATAAATCATCATCCTGGCTGAACGACAAATCCTGATCCTTCGTGGTCTCTGTGCAATCCTCAAGCCTGTGGAGAGAAATCTGATTAACCTGTTAGTCCATAAAAGCCCAGTGAGATAATAACTTTAGCATGTTAAGTATTTTCAGTAGTTTTCAATTAACGCACAACCTGGTGTGACAAGACATTGCCAGTAGAGGGCAGCACCATGTTAATTCGCTCTGTCTATCTTCTATAAGAATGTAGTGTCACTTCGACAACTTTGGTGCGATTTAAAAGTCAGTAAAAAAAAGTTCTGCATTGTGGTACCACAAAACTGTAACTTCAATTTCAACGACATAACAACATGCATTATAGTTTTCAGTGGATTTCTTTTCTACATTGCAGATTAGTTATAACCACTGCAGTTAAGGGCATTTTCACCTTTTTATCATTGGCTAATATCAACCTGTGATACCTGTATCAACAACCCATTGTTGTAAATTTAAGAACATAACACACCTGCACGCCAGGTGAGAACAAAAGACTAAAAAGGTCGAAATGCAAAAGGTCAGATACATTAAAATTCGCAAATTTCAGAAGGGTCATAAAGACGCGCAGTCATTTATTTTCATCACTTACCGCAAAACACCTTGATATTCCGCTTGCGTGGTTTAAATCCTTTCCCAAAGAAATCTTTGACGCTGTGGAGCAAAAGAAAAAGATGCACTGAGGTCAGAAGTCTGTTGGAAACAAATCAGTGTCTCCAGATAGGACGCAGAAGCTCTGATGCACAAAGTGGGTTTCTAGTCCAAAAACAAAAGGGAACAATTCAGT